ACCAGGACATTGCAACAATGGAGAAACGCTATCAGGGCAAATGGAGCTCATCAATGCTTGCAGACTATTGCTGGACAGTGACAAGAGATGCTCCATTAAATGAATACAAGAGACAAGCCAAGAAGCGCCGAGTAGACACTGAATAGGACTAAACTATGTACATAATAGTTTTTTGCCTTTTGTTTCATAATAAATTTTATTTATATAACCCTTTTGCTGATTTTTAAAGTGTTACATAAACAGGACAGGTGAAATATCATGTAAAGCAACCATAAACACAAGAAAAGACCTAGGTTTACAATTTATGATTAAAACTCTACTATCTACACAATATACATAGACATAAAATGTAAAAGCTTAAATATCTTAGACACAGTAGCCAATCAGTTGTTTTAATTGTCATATTTGAATTCAGCACATCAAAATACATAATAAATAGCACATTTTATCTCTGAAGCAGACGACTTCTCAAAAATTGTAGACCAGTGTAAACATTGTCAAGTTTTTTGTAGGCTTCACAGCAAAGGAGTTTTGAGGAGGGATTTAAAGGTGGATGATGAAGTAGCTTTGCAGATACTAATGGGGAACACCTCCCAAGCATATCTGGCAGCATGGGAGAAAGCATACCAGATGTTTGAGAAGTTAACAAGTGAGTAGTAGAGGCTGGGATCATGTGCCGGTAGGAGGTGATCATCAATAGCTTAACTGCTTCCCATACCAGCTCCCACACCTCAAGAGATACTTACCATCACCACCTCCTCCCCCAAACCACTCACACTGAACTTGACAGCAAGAACTGTGATCCAACTCTATTTCATGTTGCAACTAGTGATACCAATAAATGGTAGAGGCAACAGGGGAAAGAGGAAGCCCCTGTCACTGACTTGTCCATTTGCCATTCAAGGCTTAGAAGTGTGTATGGCCAATATTAGAGAGACAAGGTATCTCTCCAATATCCTGGGACCAACATGGTTACAACTACACTGCACATAGCCAATATCAACAGCCGTTTATGATTAGCCCAGTACTAAGGTCATACACACATCTCTTTTTGCAGATTTATCCACTAAAATTGAGTCTCTGCAGTCTATAGGGTGAACTTAAGTACTGTGAACAAAATATAAAGCATGAACTGTGACAATGGTGAGCCCATTGAGTACCAGAGATTAGTTAATTCTATTTTAGCAGCCATTGACTAGAATATAAATTAAGATGGCCATAACATAAACCTCAATAAAGGTGGTTTCCATTGTACATCTATTGTTCTATATTTTTCATCGTTTGTTTCTTTATCAACAGTTCTAATAAAAAAATATAGTCATCATGTTACAAAAAAAAAAAATGTGTAGGGCTGTTCCAGTAGACTAATGTAAGCACAATGTGAACTGACAAACTTTGGGCACTGCAGAGCCAGCAGAGTTGGCTGCTAAAGTACTGTAATCTGGGATCACCTCTGATCTGATGGCTTACTCACAGATCCATGACTTAAAAAAAATAATAATAATAATAATAATAATAATGGGAAAAACTGAAGGAAATCCAAAGGATTCTAAGCTACTATTAGTAATACAACCTCTGTTCTCCCCTGCTGCAAATGATGCCTCCCCCTCCCCATACCAAAAATTTAAACAAAAAACAAATGTGGAAAACAAATATTTTGGCAATGCACAATGTGATCAGGATGATTACCCAGGGTACTTAACTCCATGAAATCTGCATTGCACTATTTTTTGTGACCTAAAATGTACAATGTGATATAGTAATTTATTCCATACGTAATAAGTATAAATGGAATAAATTACTATCAACCTTTATTATTAATTTGTATTGTGGTACCACCTAGGAGCCCAGGCCATGGACCAGACTCCATTGTGCTAGATGCAAATAAACACAGAACAAAAAGTCGATCCCTGCCTCCAAGTGGCTCATATAGCATAATCTAGTCCCCTAAATTATTCTGTTACTAGCCAGAACTCCCAAAGACACTTCTATTGACATCTCTGAGGGCTGGTCTACACTTACCGGGTAGTTCGACGGCTGGCAATCAAAGTTCCGGGTTCGATTTATCGCGTCTGGTCTGGACGCGATAAATCGAACCAGGAAGTGCTCGCCGTCGACTGCGGTACTCCAGCTCAACAAGAGGAGTACCGCGGAGTCGACGGGGAGCCTGCCTGCTGCGTGTGGACCGCGTCTGAACCGCGGTAAGTTCGAAGTAAGGTATGTCGAATTCAGCTACGTTATTCACGTAGCTGAATTTGCGTACCTTACTTCGACTTGGGGGGTAAGTGTAGACCAAGCCTGAGACTAATGCGAAATAACCAAGTACAAAGACAGATGGTGGACATGGAAAATGTCTTTCATTAGGCTACCTCTAATTATTTATGCTCTTGCTGTAACTAGACTGGTAAGAGATGTCACTATAACCTTATCCTGCTACCTAGAAGAGTAGTGCATCACGCCTAATACACATAACGGCTTCACACTAATAAAATGTTATGTCTGAGTAAATTCAGATAGTCATTCTGAAGAGTTCATCATTTACTCGTCCTAGATAATGAGGAATTGAAGGTTAAGTCATATCACTGGGATGCTAGTTTTCCTTATTTTGCAATATGGCATCAGATTTGCCCCACACAACAAGTCTGAACATATTAGTGAATTTCATACCAGTAATACAGCTATACAGACTTTTTTTGGTTGATTTCCTGTACAGGAGTACTCTTCTTAGTGTAGTGGGTAAACAGTTCATTTGTCTGCTCATTAAGTAAGTCCAGATTATTTATAAGTTAGTTTATTGAGAGAGACTATAGAAAAGCAGAAAACAAATTGTAAAACCTTTAACTATCATTTACAAATGTTGCAGTTGGAACAAAGTCATGGCAACAACAACAACAACAAAAGACTAATCAGTGGTTGGGTAACAACCAAAGCGTTATTCACCTCTCTATCAGGGGGAAAAACACTACTTATCAATTACAACTCTTTAATCAATCCAATTTGACTCTTAAAATGGATTCCCTTGAAAATCAAACAGAAACGTGTCAGTTTCTTAACATGATTATATATTGAAGGAAAAGATGCCCTCTAGTGGAATTTAGTGATTTCATGGTTATCTGTTCTTCTAAAAATATAATTTCATTTTCACATGTGCGATATCTGTAACTTCTATCTAAATCATATGAGTTAGGTATATAAACCCTTATGCAAGAAAGAGATACCCATTTGTATCTGCAAAGCAACTGGCATGACTTCACTGTGCTCATAAATTAACCATTGCAAGTTATTAGTTTTATTATTTCAAACTGAAAGTTTGGTGTCTAATTAGGATTTATGCAGTAGCTGGTTTTACAAGATTTCAATAACAAAAGTGTAACAATAAAATGCCACTCAGGAAAAAGATACAGTTAAAATTCCAAGAGACAAAAATAATCCTGGCAGTCAAATGGCAACTAAGCCACACTGGACTCAGACAATTTAATCTCTCTAAATCATAAGCAGGAAGAGATCACTGTAGAGCCAAATAATGGTGTGGCTGGAAACACATGATGTATATCCTGCCACTGTATAAAAGCTGATAAGCAGTTTCAGATTGCCCTTTACCTTAGTTTAAGGATTTAAAAAGTTCTGCCTGTTTTAACAGCAGAGGTTTTATACCCATTTCCAAGTTTCACTAATACACACACGGTTTGGAGTAAGCACTTCTCTCAATACACAGACAACTTTGCTAGTGGAGTTGTGGCCATCAGAAAGAATATACCCCCTTTACCTCAGACATTCATATTTGGTTTGTGTTGAAATTCTTGGTTACAACTATAGTGTAACCAATAATATGGTGACATGCATGCACCATCCACAAGCATTCTGCACTGCACCTCTTCTGGAAGGTCTTTGTTTCCCTTAACATATGTTCATCAACGTAACTGTTGATACACTGGAAAGGGCTCACAGAAGAGCCCAATAACGATTAAAGGATTGGAAAACATGCCTTATAGTGGAAGACTCAAGGAGTTCTATCTGTTTAGCTTAAAGAAAAAGTTAGGAGGGGACTTCATCACATTTAATAAGTATCAACATGGGGAACAGAAATTTAATAATAGAGGGCTCTTGATTCTAGCAAGCAAAGGTATAATGTGATCAAATGGCTGGAAGTTGAAGCTAGACAAATTCAGACTAGAAATAAGGTGCAATATTTTAACAGTGAGAGTAATTAATCATAGGCACAACTTGTCTAGTGATGAAGAATCCACCACAACCCTTGATATTTTAAAAATCACGACTGGATGTTTTCCTAAGAGATATGTGTGATGCTCTGTACCTCGGGGGAACACCCTATACCCCCATGTTCATCTTTATAAAATGATTGTGTGGTATCCAATGCACAGTTTGTCATGTTGGGTGTCTTCGGAAGGGTCATGATGCACTGAGCATGGCTGTTACAGTGATGTTATAGTAATTGTTACAATAAGGTTATAGGTTATAATTTCATATATATAGTTATGAGGATGAAAGCTTATCCTCGTGGCTTAAAGCAAGCCCAGGCAAAAACTCTCCAAGAACAGAGAGGCAGTTCACACCTCATCAGGGCATGCATGCGACAAACCCAGCCCAGCCTCACAGGAACAAAGGACGCTGGCCTAGGCAACAACAAAAGAATCTGTTAGACTCGAGTGAGTCACCCCCCTTCCTTTGGTCAGTTTGGAAATGCAATGAGGTAATGCTCAACTGACTCTGAAGGGAGGCGGGGGGCAAAGCCAAGAGGGAAGAAAGGACATGATAAAAGGGAGAGACATTTGCCATGCTCTCTCTCTCTCCCCCACCTACATCTACAGACACCACACCAAGCGACTGAAGCGCTGATAAAAGGGGAGAGCCTGGCTGAAGCGCAACCAGCCAGCCTGTGGTGAGAAGCATCTAAGTTTATAGGAACACTGAAAGTGTTAAGATCAGCTTAGAACGCATTTTGCTTTTATTTCATTTGACCAAATCTGACTTGTTATGCTTTGACTTATAATCACTTAAAGTCTACCTTTATAGTTAATAAATCTGTTTATTCTACCTGAAGCAGTGTGTTTCGTTCAAAGCGAGTCAGACACTCGCCTTGGGATAACAAGCCTGGTACATATCAATTTCTTCGTTAAATTGACAAACTCATATAAGCTTGCAGCATCCAGCGGGCATAACTGGACACTGCAAGATGGAGGTTCCTAGGGTTATGTCTGGGACCAGAGATATTGGCTAGTGTCATTCGGTTGCACAATCCAAGGAGCAGCTTACATGCCAGAGGCTGTGCGTGAACAGCCCAGGAGTGGCATTCTCACAGCAGAGCAGGGTAAGGCTGGTTCCCAGAGTCAAGGATTGGTGTGACCTAGCAGATCACCAGTCCATACAACACCAGAGGGGAACATCACAATATGCTCTAGTGCAAACTGGAATTAATTCAGGGAAGTCCTGTGTCCTATGGCCTGTGTTATACAGGGAGTCACACTAGATGATCACAGGCCTTAAAAATCTATGAACAGTAAAAACAGCTCTATATATGTGAGATTACAGTTCTGAAGTTTGCAACTGGTTCATTAAAGCACTGCCACTAGGAAGGATTATTTACTAAAATATGGTTAAGCAGGGACATGGTCACTTAACAAATGAGTGCAGCAGTCTCTGAAAGTCCCTAGGGTTAGCCATCTCATCACACTTAGACTACGAGGAGAACGTCATGTAGCTTTGAATTTCAGAAACCCTCAGAGAGGAAGGAAGGTAAGTTCTCTTTAAAAAAAAAAAAACAGTGCTGCTGTTCACTTGCTTCCTTATGGTAACAAAGGACTATGACAGCCTCAGTGGCCTCTTCGCACACTTCCTGATTTACTATTGAACGTGTTCCTCTCAAAGCATTCATCTGTAACAAGAGTTTAAGCACATGCTTTTAGAGGTAGATATGAAGGAGGAGCTGGCTACTCAGGAGAAGTGATAGGACAGCTCTGCTCTTTTGGCATTGCTACAGCTTTCCACACCTTTCAGCCATATGTATATTCACTATTTATTAATAATATAGGGAAGCTAGAGAATGATTAGTTCTCCCAGTCTGACTTATGTAAACAGATGCACAAAGCTGAAAACATTGTTGGGTAGGTAGATAGCACAGGCTATATAAAGACCAGAGGTGCCAACAGTTTAATTTAGAGCTGGCAAGTTTTATTTTCAACTTGTAAAGTGAGCAAGAATTCATTGCAAGCAATTTTTTTTCCTTTGCCTAGCCTCCTGGGGATCCAGTTATTAGGTTAAACACCACAGTAGAAAAAAACAAAAAACTAACAAAAGAAACAACTCTCTTAGGTCTATAACTTACCTTGATAATGCTGAAGTAATCTATTCATCCTAACATCCCACACCTTCACTGTGTTATCTGTACCAGCTGCAGCAATGCATGTACCACTGGGATGAAAATCCACATGATTCACAAACCTATAAAGAAAAATCCAACAGTTTAAACTTGGAGGAATCCCTTATAAGAAGGAGCATTACAGTATGTTAGTGAAATAATATGGGGGCAGGAGGAAATCTGACTTAAAGATGCTAAACACAGCTCAAGTCAACTAACATTTATCTTGTGCTTCTCTCACACCCTTAAGGCAGGATATGATATAGCACTATTTTATATATATTTGTATTAAAAAGAATTTGATGACAATTACATGAGTTTCAGAAGCAAACCTTCTGGAATTTTGTAGATTTAGATGTCTTAACATTAATTTTCAAAAGTTAATATTTAATAGAAGTAATTATTTTTTACTAAGATCACAGGAGTTCTTAATTGGTGCTTGTGAGATACAACATGCAGCCATATCCTTTGAACACATTGTTATTTTAAAAAAAAAGTATAAAATCGATCCTTTGTAAGGTGCTTTGTAACTCTTGTTCCATTGATACAAGCAATACATCGGATAACAAGAAAACTGACTGCCCTATTAGCATCCTTACATTGCACCATATTAAGAATACCACCAAGCGCTTATATAGTGCTTTTCATCAAATTCTAGGTCTGTTGTGTGGAGGAACCATGTGTACTAAAAAGGCTTATGAAAAACAAAAATATTGTACCATGACATTAACGAGATCAGAATCAAAGGTCATGACATTAAATACAACCTTAATGACAAATTCAGAGGTTATCTTGAAACAAGAGAATTGTATGAAAAGGAAAACAAAAGAGGCAGTATGCAGTTACTGGTCTATTGAGGAGGTGTGTGTCAAATGATGCCATGGAATCGGAACCTAGAAATCATGGGTTCTGGTTTCAGTTCAATCATTGACTTGTTCTGTAACCTTGGACAAGTCCCTTAATATTGTGGTGGTTCAGTTTCAGCTATAAAATAGGTATAACACTTCCCTACCTCACAGAAGACATGTAGGAGGTTTGATTAATTTTATGAATGGTTTAGAGAGCATAGAATGAAAGGTACCGCACAAGTGCAAACCATTATTGCAAAGATCTTTTAATTATTGAACTTCATTAATTTAGAGCACAATAAAAATAAAGTTTTGGCAAATCTAGTGAAGAGAAGTGAGATTCAAACCTCCTTAAGTTTCCTAGAACTAGAGAGAGAGAGAGTGAGTGTGAGTGTGAGTGTTGGGGGGGGAGGGGACAAGAGATGTGAAAAGTTTCATTTAATGTGGTTTTGTCCTCAGCATAATGTGGCTAAAATGATTTCTAAGAACCGTTCTCTCATCTAGGCCACTAGATGGATGTTAAAACATGTTTAGCTTCATTTACACTAACATCCATGTCACTTTCAAGCCCAGCAGTAAGGGATCTGGAAGGAATGGTTGGTGACTAAAGGTCATTTCTGTGTAGCTAGGATCTATGTGACTGTGCAGTCAGTCACGATTTAACCTCTGCCAAACAGTGAAAAAAGTGTGGCAGGCTCAAATAAGACAGCCTTGTGTGTCTTGCCCCTGTGCATTCTACTGGTACTCACCCACCGTGCTCACAAAAAGAATGTATACATTCTCTGCTGGTTTTATCCCATAGTTTGATAGTTTTATCATCGCTTGCAGAAGCTATTAGTCTTCCATCTGGAGAAAATCTAAAACAAAGATAGGAATTATAGCGAAGTTCAGAACTAACAAGAAGCTGGAGGGGATAGACAGTATGGGCTAGATATAGATACCTTACTCATGGTAGGATGCATCTTAGGGTTTGTCTACAGCATTATTTAGTTCACAGCATGCTGGGATGTAAATCTACCCCGCACTAGCCTGCCATGCACTAAATGTCATTGTGGACCCTGCTGTTTTCTAGTGCACTTCGATCTACTCACATTTCAAAGCAGGGTAGATCAAAGTGCACTAGGGAATGGTTAGTGTGTAGCAGCAGGGTCCATGGACACTTAGCATATGGTAGATTTACACCCCAGCTTGCCGCAAGTTAAATGTTCATGTAGACAAGTACTTACTCTTTGAGTAGTCCCACTGATGTCAGTACGACTACTTGAGGAGCAAGGGTAGCAGAATGCAGAGCTAAATCTGCAAAGCTGATTTCTATGATTACTGAGAAAAGCAACCTAAAAGGACTGAAATTATTGAACAGCATGCAGATAGATTAAATAACTCTTCAGAAAAAATGGCTTAACTGATTTCAGATCATCTATCCCACTTGTTTTCATTTAAGGCTGTTTCAAGTGCTTCATTTCTAGGCCCTGCTTCGGACAATTTCTAGATTCACTACCAGTAGGAAAGGTAATTTATTTGTCCTCAAAATGACTATATTTCTGGTTAAGACTGTTTAGGAGAAGTTCAAAATAGACAATAGTAACTGTAGCATTAGAAACACTGTTTGACAGTACCAAACAAGTGCAACCTTAAGCCGCCCTCTCCAACAATGTCACGTAGGCAAGTAGTACCACGGAGATCGACACATCTACTCACATGCATAAATCTTTACAGGATTAAGGCTTTAGGTTGCAATGAAAGAATTACAGCCATGTGTATAACATAATGGGTGTGACGTTGCACTCTATAAGATTTTATGAAAATATGCTAATGAGTGTGAATATAACGTAACTGGAATATGCTTCATGCAAAAGGTCTCATGTAAGGTATCATTACAAATCTTATAATCTACTGAGTGTGGTCATCCTGTTTGTATGTATCTATCATTCTTGTATCTGAAACTAGAAATATGAAATATAACTCTGAGGGCCTATTGTAATTATGCAAAGTGTGGGCCATTAACGGTGGTTTGGAATCTTGATGGCTCTCATCAACCAGGACAATTGACTGTGGATGGCTCTGTTTGCTTGCAGGCCTTCCTGTGAGTCAGGCTAGGAGGAATGAAGGCTTGGGGTCTCACAGGACATGTGACCATGTCACCTGGTACTGAAATCCATCTTAAACCTGGTGCTTTTCCATTTAGAAGGGGAGGAGGGGAAACCCCAGAGAGGAACAAAGGATTCCCTCCTTGTGCAAAAGTTATATAAAGGGAGTGGAACAGAACAAAGGGGGCTGAGAAATCCCCTAGCTACCACCTGAGTTGGAACAGGAGCTGTACCAGGGGAAAGGATTGTGCCCAGACTAGGAAGGCATCCAGTCTGTGATAGAAGCTTATTGAAACATCTCTGAGGGTGAGATTATCTGTAATCATTTTCTTACTGTATTAGGCATAGGCTTGCGTGTTTTATTTTATTTTGCTTGGTAATTCACTTTGCTCTGTCTGTTATTACTTGGAACCACTTAAATCCTACTTTTTGTATTTAATAAAATCACTTTTTACTTAACCCAGAGTATGTATTAATACCTGGGTGGGGGGAAAACAACTATGCATATCCCTCTATCAATGTTATAAAGGGCAAACAATTTATGAGTTTACCCTGTATAAGCTTTATATACAGGGTAAAATGGATTTATATGGGGTTTGGACCCCATTGGGAGCTGGGCATCTGAGTGTTAGAGACAGGAACACTTCTTAAGCTGTTTTCAGTTAAGCCTGCAGCGTTTAGGGGACGTGGTTCAGACCTGGTCTGGGTTTGCAGCACACAACCGTGTCTGGCTCAAACTAGGCAAGGTTCTGGAGTCCCAAGCTGCCAGGGAAAACGGGTTAGAAGTAGTCTCAGCACATCAGTTGGCAGTCCCAAAGAGGTTTCTGTGATCCAACCCGTCACAATGGGGATAACACTATTTCCGATATCCCATCAGGGTATGAAGAAGTGAAACAGAAGTGCATCAGGGTAAGAAGAAGTGAAATAGGGCTGAAGTAACTAGACAGTTAGCTTTTCTTCTGAACAGAAAAGAACACAAGAATGGCCATACTAGGTCAGACTAATGGTCCATCTAGCCCAGTAGCCTGTCTTCCAACAGCAACCAGTGCCAGATGCTTCAGAGGGAATGAACAGAACAGGGCAATTTATTGAGTGATCCCTGGATGGGGACCTAGTTCTTTTTTTAATGCAGTTATACTTTTGGCCTTCACAACATCCTCTGATAAGTTCCACAGGTTGCTTGTACAACTGTATGAAAAAGTACTTCCTTTTGTTTGTTTTCAACTTACTGCCTAAAAATTTCATTGACCCCTGGTTCTTCCATAAGGTGAAGGAGTAAATAACACTTCCTTATCCACTTTCTCCACACCAAGTCACAATGTTATAGACCTTTATCATATCCCCTCTGAGGTTATCTTTTCCAAGATGAAAAGTCCCAGTCTTTTTAATCTCTTCTCACACGGAAGCTTTTCCATACCCATAATCATTTTTGTTGCCCCTTTCTGTACCTTTTCCAATTCTAATATATCTTTTTTGAAATGGGAAAAGCAAAATTGCACACAAGGTGTGGGAGTACTATGGATTTATATAGGGGCATTATGATATTTTCTGTCTTGTTATCTATCTCTTTCCTAATGGTCCATAACATTGTTAGCTTTGTTGACTGCTGCTGCACATTAAGATGTTTTCAGAGAACTATCCACAATGACTCCAAGATCTTTCTTGAGTGACATCACCCTGTATAGAACCCATTGTGATATTATACTCCATGTTTTTATGGAAATATGCTTATGAGTGTGAATATAATGTAACTGGAATATGCTTTATGCAAAAGGTCTCTTGTAAGGTATCATTACAAAACTTATGATCTACTGAGTGTGTTCATCCTATTTGTTTGCATTTATTATTTCTATGTCTGGAGTTAGGAGAATACGATATAAACTTGTATTACTGAGGTAAATATGTTAAGTGGAAGCCATAAGGGTGCTTCAGAATCTATGAACTGTGAATGGTTTTGTTTACCTGCAAGCCTTCCTGTGTAAGTGTCTCCCAGCTACTAGGTAATAAAGAAGGAGGTCTTACAGTGACATGAGACCATGTCACCTGGTACTGGAATCCATCTTAAACCTGGTGCTTTTCCATTTAAAAGGAGGAGTGGGAATCCAGGGAGACAAAAGATTCCCACCTTGTGCCAAAGATATAAAAGGGGGTGGAACAGAACAAAGGGGGCTGCCAATCATGAGAAAACCCCTAGTTACCACCTGAGCTGGAACTAACAAGAACCGTACCAGGGGAAAGGATTGGACCCATACTAAGAAGGAGTCTAGTCTGTGAAAGAAGCTTATTAGAACATCTCTGAGGGTGAGATTTACCTGTATTCAGTTTCTTAAATGTATTAGGCTTAGACTTGCATGTTTTGTTTTATTTTCCTTAGTAAAATACTTTGTTCTGTCTGTTATTACTTGAAACCACTTGAATCTTACTTTTTATACTTAATAAAATCACTTTTGTTCATTAACAAACCCAGAGTAAGTGATTAACTTGGGGAGCAAACAGTTGTGCATCTCTATCAGTGTTATAGAGAGCGGACAATTTATGAGTTTACTCTGTATACGCTTTATACAGAATAAAACGGATTTATCTGGGGGCTTGGACCCATTGGGAGCTGGGTGTCTGAGTGCTGGAGACAGGAGTACTTGCTGAGCTGTTTTCAGTTAAGTCTGCAGCTTTGGGAACATGGTTCAGACCCTGGGTTGGTGTTGCAGCAGGCTCAACAAGACAAGGTTCTGGAGTCCCAAGCCATCAGAGAAAATGGGTTCAGAGGTAGTTTCAGCACATCAGGTGACAGTCCCAAGGGGGTCTCTGTGACAGAACCCGTCACACCCATCATTTTGTATGTATGGTTAGGATTGTGTTATCCAGTGTGCATTACTTTGAATTTATCAACATTGAATTTTATCTGCTATTTTGTTGCCCAGTCACCCAGTTTTTTTAAGATCCTTCTGTAACTCTTCACAGTCTGCTTTGGACTTAGTTATCTTGCAGACAATACAAAATTACTCAACCATTGCCACCTCACTGTTAACCCCTTTTTCCAGATCATTTATGTAGGTGTTGAACAGCACCAGTCCCAGTACAGATTCTTGGGGGACCCAGTTATTTACCTCTCTCCATTCTAAAAACTGACTTTATTCCTACCCTTTCTTTTAACCAGTTACTGATCCATGAAAGGACCTTCCCTCTTATCCCATGACTGTTTACTTTGCTTAAGAGCCTTTGGTGAGAGAACTTGTCAAAGCATTTCTGAAAGTCCAAGTACACTATATCCACTGGATCACTCTTGTCCACATGTTTGTTGATTCCCTCAAAGAATTCTAATAGATCGGTGAGGCATGATTTCCCTTTACAAAAGCCATGTCAACTCTTCCCCACTCTCACTCACTCATGCCCGTCACCCCAATCAGGATATGGGCCGCCAACCACAGATCTCCAGAGTCCTTTATCCTGGGCCATTTGCTCTAGCTGGTTAATCCTCCTGGTTGCAAGAAGGGTAATCGGCTTAGTGGCTTCCTCACGACTTTCACCACCCAGCGTCATGCGTCTTCGAGTTGAAGACCCTTCTTTTTCCAGGCTAAAAGTCTCTGTTATCTCTATTGGCGTTTCTGTAGCAAGTTAATTTTTTACAGGGTGGAGTTGCTAGCCCCACGTCCAACCCTCCTCCTTTATCCTGACTTGGGACAGGCAGATGGCCCCAAAGGGCCACTCTGGTGGAGTTCAACTCTTCCCCACTATATTGTATTCATCTATGTGTCTGATCATTCTGTTCTTTACTATAGTTTCAACCAATTTTCCTGGTACTGAAGTTAGGTTTACCAGCCTGTAATTGCCAGGATTGCCTCTGGAGACTTTTTAAATCATGGGTGTTACATTAGCTATCCTCCAGTCAACTGTACCATGGCCGATTTAAAGGATAAGCTACATACCACAGTTAACAGTTCTGCAATATCATATTTGAGTTCCTTCAGAACTCTTTGGTGAATACCATGTGGTCCTGGTGACTTATTGTTTAATTTATCAAGTTGTTCCAAAACCACCTCTGACACCTCAGTCTGACAGTTCCTCAGATGCATCACCTAAAAAGAATGTCTCAGGTGTGACAATCTCTCTCACCTCCTCTGCAGTGAAGACTGAAGCAAAGAATTCATTTAGCTTCTCCACAATGGCCTAGGCTTCCTAGAATTCTCATTTAGCACCTCCATCATCCAGTTGTTTCACTGATTGTTCGGTGGGCTTTGGCCTACTTCTGATGTACTTAAATTTAGCTGTTACTTTTTGTGTTTTTGCTAGCTGCTTTTTAAATTCTTTTTTGGCTGGCCTAATTATATTTTTTGACTTCACAGAATTTATGCTCCTATTTTCCTCAGTGGGATTTGACTTCCAATTTTTGAAGAATACCTTTTTTCCTCTAACCACCTCTTTCACCCAGTTGTTTAGCCATGGTGGCATTTTTTTGGGTCCTAAAAAAAAAAAACCCACAACCACACACAGTAAAAGGGTACACATAGTTTAAGCCTATATTATGGTGTTTTTAACTTTTCCATAGAGCTTGCAGTCATTCACTCTTGTGACTGTCCCTTTTAAATTTCCTTTTTTTTTTTCCTAGTTCCCTTTTTCAAGTTAAATCAGCAGTTCTCAGAGAGTCATGAGGCTATTAAATGGGGGGGTTGCGAACTGTCAGCCACCACCGCAAACCCTACTTTGCCTCCAGCATTTATAATAGTGTTAAATATAAAAGTGTGTTTTAATGGGGGGGGAGGGGTGTCACACTCAGACACTTGCTGTGTGAAAGGGGTCACCAATGCAAAAATTTGAGAACCACAGAGTTAAATGCTACTGTGGTCAGTTTCATTGGCATTCCACCCCACCCCCACCCCCAGTATGTTAAATTTAATTACATTATGGTCACTATTACTGAGTGGTTCAGCTATATTCACCTCTACGACCAGATCCTGTGCACCATTTAGGACTAAATCAAGAATTGCCTCTCCCTTTGTGGGTTCCACGACTAGCTACTCCAAGAAGCAAATCATTAGTGGTGTCTAGAAACATTTATCTCTGCATCCCATCCTGAGATGATACATACCCAGTCAACATGGGGATAGATGAAATCCCCCATTATTACTGGGTTTTCTGTAGCCTCTCTAATCTCCCTGAGCATTTCACAGTCACCCTTACCATCTTGATCAGGTTGCCAGCAGTATACTCCTACTGCTATAGTCTTATTATTCAAGCACGCAATTTCCATCCATAGAAATTCTATTATACTGTTTGATTCATTTAAGATTGTTACTATAATTGACTTTATGCTTTTATTCCCCCACATATACTGCCACTCCCCCACCAGTAAGACCTACTCTATCATTCCTATATTTTCTGTACAGTGGTTTTACCATGTCCTATAGTGGAACAATGGCAAAGTTCCCATGATGCCTATTATATCAATATCCTCATTTAATACCTCAAGTTCAACCATCTTACTATTTAGACTTCTTGTATTTGTATACAAGCATTTATAGTTTGTCAATATTTAGTTATCTGCCTTTGTTTGACTGTTTCTCTTCAGTTCCTACCTACTTGATCAACTTCTATCATCTCCTCTTTATTAGACTAGATAGTGTCCACTTTAATAAATCCTTCTCTCAGGGATGGGTCTGTCCAAACTGTGTGCACCTTCATACCTGTTGGCTTTCCCCCAGTCCTAGTTTAAAAACTCCACTACAAGCTTTTTAATTTTACATGCCAGAAATCTCGTTCCATATTGGTTTAGGTGGAGCCAGTCCTTCCTGCATCCGCTCCTCCTTTCCCAAAAGGTTCCCCGGTTTCTAATAAACCTAAATCCCTCCTCCCGACACCACAGTCTCAGACGGCATGGAGACCCTGCTGTTTGACTATCAAACTGGAACTGCACATAGAACTGGAAGCATTTTAGAGAATGCCATCATGGAGGACTTAAAAATATCTATATCTATCTTACCTACTGTCCTAAATTCGGCCTCCAGGACCTCTCTCCTATCTTTCCCTATGCCATGTACCATGGCTACTGGTTCCTCCCCAGCACTGCATACAAGTCTATCTAGGTATCTCAAGAGGTCTGCAACCTTTGCACCCACAGGCAATTCTCCATGCAGTTCTCCCAGTCATCACAAATCCAACTGCTAAAGAAAAAAAATTTAGATGTTGCATTTACTTGGGGGTTGGGCAACAAGGATATATGGATCTCTATACCTGTTCAAAATTATTTCAGCTCAGGATTGATTTGAAGCATAAGGCAACGTTGTTACACCAAAGCCACCTGTTGAATGCACTCTTTGTTTTAAGACATACATCACCACCACCACCGTTTTTTGCCAGCAGGTTGTACTTACTTGGCACAGCGAACCCAGTTTATGTGCTGGCTCAAGGAAAAGAGAAATTTCTGTCTGTGAACTGTCCATACTTTGACTGTTTTGTCATCAGAAGCTGTAACCAAGGACTGTCCATCACTGGAGAACTGAACGCTTCTTACAGTTGCCGTATGAGCCTTGAACACAGTAGATTCTCCTTTGCTGGGTAGAAAAAGGAGTGAATGATTTTTTTAAGTTGCACAAGAGGCTAAGACACTATGTTCTAAACAGCCTGAAGCTTGTGTACACTAGACAGTGTTTCTAACCACTATTTCTATGGACACCATATACATTTACATTAGGAGGAAATTGTTGACCTATCCTGAGCAGACAAGTGTTTAGGAACAATACAAAACATAGCACTAAAAAACTGCTCTATTTGATTTTAGTTACTGGAGCCCATCCTAACTTGAGACAATTTATGTTTGTGTTGTCTATAAAGAGGTAAGAAAAAGGACATGTTTTTAATTAGTGTAAATCAAATAGTCTGCTAAGAAGACTGTTTACATCAGTGATGCTCAACCAGTATACAAAGACAAGAACAATAGTGGCTGAAATTCTGGGCTGACATCAGGTCTTAATTGTCACCGCAACGAGGAAAAAGAAGGGCATAAAGGAGAGTTTCAATTATAGTCAGATAAACCATTGATACCAAATGGAAGCGTGTCTAATATTTATCACAAGATAACATCACAGCAAATACTTTTCCTACACAGCATCTTCTGAGAAATACATGACTTACTTTAAATCAGACATACCAGAAGTGGGACAAAGTGAGACCAATTTAAAAACACAAACAAGCTACAGAATTTAATATTAAGTATCATTAGTTCTTCCTCTTGCCAACATTTTCAAAGTAGTGCAGAAGGTATTTTTCTGGCAAACAAATACAAGACTGCAGTACAAAATCCTGAGAATTTCAAGATTCAATAGGTGCCTGGTAGGCTACCAGTCCTGCACCACTCCCTAGTGTACGGGGGGCTAGCAACAGCACAATGCTGAACGATCGAAGAGCTCAAGCCAAGAGCTGAATGAGAGAAGTGGTGGGGTTTTCTCATTAAAGATAATATTTAATGGACCAGCTCCTAAGTGCTGTAACTAGAAATCCAGGTTCTGTTACCAGATTCTTGAACCCTTGAATTCTAAGAGACATGGGGTGCTGCAGAAGGAATGCACTCAGGCCCTGGGAAGAGACAGATTTCTCTTATCTTTCAACAGCAAACCCTCATTTGACTGGCTCCAAAATAAATCCCATCCAGTCCTAATCTGCCAGAAGACTAGTGGCCTCAAGTCTTAAAGGTTGACAAGGGAAAGGGAATTCTGGGTTCTGGAAGCTATATAGAATATCCCCTAGTTTTAAAGAGAGACTATTGGTAACTATTTTTTCTTGCCAACTCAAAAAGCTTCAATTGGCATTTAAATTAAACAATAGTGTGAAGTGGTAAAATTTGTAAACATGGTCCAACAACAAATCTAAGGCCCCAATTCTGTAATCTATTCCCTGCAGACAAATTCTGCACCCATATGCAGCCCCAGTTAATTCAAAGGGGGTCCATTTGCTGAGAACAGTTTGCAGGGGCCCCAAGTATTTTACCAAGAGGTCCTTTCTCCATATAGTGCAGATCTCTGCTTCTTAGAAACACCCCCCCCCCACCCCTTATCCACCAGGGAACTGATTATAAGAGCTCACTGGTCACTCCTGAGAACCTCACAGGGCATTCAGCAGTCAGCCCTCCCGGGTGAGCCCACCCTTAATTCCCTGATCTTGCCATGCTTGCTTGACGATAAGATACGGTCTCCAGACACGGTCACAATCATCATTGTAAACGCTCATAATAAGGGTAGAAAAAGTGTCTCATTGAGTTTAAATTCTTTATTTTACTAATTAATTTTAAAAAACCCTGGATTAGAGAACAGGATAAGTGGGATCAAGGAAGATCTGAAGAGGAAGGAAGAAATCTCAAAATGGATAAAATCCATGTTTTCAGAGTAAGACATGCAAATATTAATTTGGTACTGAAAATTTCTGAACTACCTACCTTCATTTTTAATGAAGTCAAGACCTTCTCACACAGTATAACACTAACAGCAATGCTACTAACCTTCATGTTTTGTTAAGTTACTCAAGACTATCCTTATTGCTTTTTAAGTTCTCCCCTCACTAAAGAGATTGCAGCATATTTGACTACATTTAATCAAGCTGTGAATTTAACACACTAAAGAGACATCTGACTTCAATGAAAATATCAAGTTTAATATAGCTATAGAAGTTCAGTGACTGATAATACTAAACATACACACAAAAGAGTACTGCAAGTTGCCACATAAGGAGCTGCCTCAAGACAGGCACAGGTGGAATAATTCCCTTTCCATTCTAGCTTACTTCTGAAATGGCAACCACACATACAGCTTCAATCACTGAACTGATATTTTCAAGGCACTGAGATTTCATCCAGCACCATTCATTTAAATTCAGCCTCCCCAGAAGATCTAGTTTTTCCACACAATTTACACATTCACTTCCAAGAACTCCAGTAAGTGGTGTTTTTTTTGTTGAATTCATTTTCAGGATTACACATATTAGCAGCCAGGCTCTGGATGCAGAAGAAGAAACTGTCACTCCCTTTTTTCTGTCTAGATGGATGAACAATGAGGTTAAATTTTAATTAAATATAATTTATCTAGTGTCTTTAAATATACATATTTTTATATTCAAGTGTGTCATATTTCTTCCAGGGAAGTTCTACTAAACAGAAGTTAACTATAACTGAAATTGCAATCTGCACATTTTCATCCTGCTTCAATGTAAGTGTAGCTTAACTTTATCCAATTTCACTGTAAAATGGATCTATTGTACAGCCATGGTGTCATTATGAAGGTACAATGGCACCTCCATATTAAAAGAAATTGAGATTTGCACTAAAAGCAGGGATTAAACTTTTGTTATATACGAATAATAGTGCATCTTCCCTAAATGTATTACTCACTCTGAGTACAGAACAAAAATTTAAAGAATTTACAAGAGAGCCTATTAGTTTATGAATAAGAGTTTTTTAAAACGGGTTTTGAGGCTGGGGGGGGCAAAGTAATTTTTTTTTATTCTTCTAGCAAATAGATTCTGGATTTTTTTAAATCTGACTCACTTCTAGATTGTAACAAGAACTAGGGCACAGGCTAATTTAGGCTTAATTTTTTTTGTTAACAAAGTAATACAATTACTCAGCCATAAAACGTTCCAACAAAAATAGAAATGATTAATTTTAGAGTATCTTCCCTGCTTCTTGGGCTGCTGTGTTTAGTTTCAATTGCTAAAGAGTACAAACCAAACACCAATAAGAGAGACCCACCACGAGTCTCCTTCCCTCTCAGGGCCCAGACTCACTATTTCTTTATAGTCTTTAACAGTAGCACTTCCCAGAAAGCCACCCTTCCCCAGCTCTCTGGGCTGGAATCCTCATGCTGGCTACCACATAAAGGGGAAGATCACTTCCCCAATTTAGTGAAAGAGGAGGGAGACATTCTCAGCTCCATACAGAGGTCCAACAGATGTTACTTGTAGAAAAAGAAAAGTTGCAGACAGAAGTGTGATATGAGTCCATGTTGCACGCACACCTTTGCCACTTACGGTGTATTTCAGTGGGATGAGTAGTAGATGGGCCTGCTCTGGGCTAACTAACATACTTCGATCATTTTAAAACAGCGGCACAGAGTCTGGATGGTTAGAGGAATGTTAAAAATAATGGTTAGCAGCTGCCAGACAAGCATCTCAAAGCATGTTACAAACATCAAACTAAGTCTTCTAATCTCCCAGTTAGGTAGGCCACCATCGCAAATTTTAGAAATGACGAAAACTGAGGCACAGAAAGGGTAAGGTCCCATGCAAGTCCATGACAGCATCAAAAATTTAGGTCTCCTGACTTCCAGGCCTGTGTTTTAGCCATATACCATCATTCTGCTATTAATGGGACAGAGAGTTATTAATCTTTAAGTCAACAATTAAAATTTAAAACCAGAGGTCATGAAAAGTCACCCATTGTTTGGTGGACTACAACAAGCAAGTCAGAAATCCAACTCCTAGAACAGATGCCTATATTACAAAAACTGAGCACTGTATTTGTTAGTGCCAGAGCAAAGCAAAGGACTAATGAGCCATGAAACATGAACTGGGAGGGACACCAGTAGGTAACTATTTAAGTACAGTATTACAGCTGTGTCAGGAAGTTTACACTGATATTGTCTGTGCTGTACCTGTTCTGTAGACAGAGGATTTCAGTCTCTAGGGCTAACAAGCTGGCATCTTCTTCAGGACTAAATTCACTTTATAGAAGAGTTCTATGCAGAATGGCTGTTGCATCACCTAATATTTTTTCCTTTAGCAAATAACAGATTCCCAACCCTCACACTGGAGCACTCCTGCCAGTGGAAATCACACACCACAACTTAACATAAAAGAGTTAGGAAGCAGGATATACTTACACATTTGGAACCCATAAACGGACAGTTTTGTCTCTGGAGCCTGAGGCCACCAGATGGCCAGAAGGTGAAAACTGAACACACATCACTGCATCTTTGTGACCCACAAAGCGATAGGCTCTCATTTGGGATCTCATACTCCAGATCATCAAGCACGAATCCATAGAGCCACTTGCTAAATTTAGAGGAAAAAGACTCATTTAATATCTTCTCTGAGTACACTGGAACAATCATACACACTGAAGGGATCAGCACAGATTTCAGCCCTTTCAAACACTGGTTCTCTCCACTGAATTAAGACCTTTGTTAACCCTGGGGCACCACTACAATTCTATATTTTATTGGCAATTCAAACCAACCATTCAGAATCACTTATTAATTGAAAGTAGGCATGGCAACCCAAGCTAAGAGTTAGTTCATGTAATTCTGTTATTGAAGTAAACAAACAAAAAAGTACAAACATTGTAAGAGATATTCCAATAGAAGGCAATACACACATGTGCAGAGCCTCTAAGATTTGAGACTCAGTGTCTCTTCATCAAAAGATTTTTTTCTGTTGGAGAGCAAACAGCAGTCACGACTTTGCTTGGTTAATTATCCAAATGTAGATACACAAAGCAGACAAGTCCAGCAAGTTAGAGACATATAGAAAAAACACTTGTGACAGTGCTTTGTGCCCCAGGAACCCAGCTTTTCTATGGTTACACAGTTACCAACATATCCTTCTGAGGCACTGCTTCAGATGAATGTTCCCAGCCTTCTCTATGCCACTGACCCTGATGAAAGTGCAGCTTCCCCTACAGCCTGCCATGTTTTATATGTCCGTAGTGCAGTGGACACTTACTGTGATGTATAATGGCACAGATATTCAATGGCAACTTACAGAAAAATATTAGACAACAAACCTCTAAAATGGTGACAATTAAAATACCTCTTCAAACTAATCCTACATTTAAACTACAAAAACTGTGGGAAAGGGGTTGATTTTTGTGGAGGGTTTTAAAGCAAACAAACAAAAAACAGACAACTATGTGGTATAAAAATCTTAGCCTGCCAACAGGCAAAAGCATCATCTTTATGTCCCTGTCAGAGCACCAAGTGGGACATATCTCCAGTGAATGTAAAACATGCCTAGAAAAAAAAATACAGATTAGTTTTTGATACTAGGTTTAGATGCTATAGTATCATAATCACAAGAAGATTTTAATTAGTTTCAGTTGTGGCAAAGTACTAAACAGCTTTTGCTGGAAACATCCTTTTATTTCACAGTCATTTCAATACAAAAAAGAATAGCTCTCTCCTTTCTTGGATCGGATTCAGGATTAACCTAGACCAGTGTTTCTCAAACTGGGGTTGCCACTTGTGTAGGGAAAACCCCTGGTGGGCCAGGACGGTTTGTTTACCTGCCCCGTCCGCAGGTCCGGCTGATCATGGCTCCCACTGGCCACGGTTCACTGCTCCAGGCCAATGGGAGCTACTGGAAGCGGCGCGGGCCGAGGGACTTACTGGCCGCCTCTTCCAGCAGCCCCCATTGGCCTGCAGTGGTGAACCACGGCCAATGGGAGCCGCGATCGGCCGGACCTGCGGACAGGGCAGATAAACAAACCAATCCGGCCCACCAGGGGCTTTCCTACACAAGCGGCGACCCCAGTTTGAGAAACACTGACCTAGACCCATTTCAGACAGGATGTTCCATTATTCATGTTCCTTTAAAGGGAAAAAATTCATACATTTCCATTCAGTGGCTTTTTGCCAGCAACACCTTTCCCTAAAAAACATTAGGATTAAAATAAAGAAGGCAGCTAAAAATATGTGGATTGAGGACAGGGCTGAGACTCTAGAGATATTAATTCTATTCTTAAGTATGCTACTGATTCACTGTATGATAAAGTTACTTAACTGCAGTACCACAATTTCCCTATCTATGAAATGGGGAAAATAGCACTTAGCTATCTCTGTAAAGGACTTTGAGATATAAGCAGTATTTTGCAGTTTATTATTGGAGAGTCATTAATAGCATTGGGTAGGGTAAACACCCCAGTAAAATGGCATCAAATGAAAGCTCACTTCTTCAGCTTAAAAATATGAAGAATCAAATATAAAGGATGGGAAGTGTACAGGTTGCTTGAATATAAAGTAGCTGACTCAATATACCTGACTCAAATATTTTGAGTCTTCCTGCCTGCATTTTCATTCATAGAAGTGCTGTACCCACAGCACTTGTTATGTAGGACTGTAGCACTGCTCTTGCTCTGCAGTTGCTGGCCTGAACCTAAAAAGAAAGACCAAGGGAAGGGAGACAGGAAACAAAACAAGAATAAAGGAGCCACTGAGAAACAAAAGGGAAACAGGGTAGGAGGGAGTGGTAATTAAGAGAATATGCTTAACTTTGATAGTCCCTAATTTTCAGAGCAAAGGGTTATGTGGGTTACCAGGGTCCTGATAAGGGATACTGAAATATGCCTTCTGACAACCTATTGGACTACTCAATTTCAAGGTGCTCAGCCCTGCTGTATCTGTATGTGTCTACTACTGGACACCTTTGCCATATCATTTCTTTGTTCACCACCTCTGCAACAGACATAGCAATTCTCTCCTGTACTAAAAAGCACAGTGGGCCTCAATGTAAGTAGTAGGCCAATGGACAACTGTCAATTTCTATTTGGTTCTCAGGAAAGACAACTGATTACAATGCAATGCATTGTATTAATGGACAGTAGAAGGAAAACAAGCCTTGGTTTAAGTCACACCAAGTAAAAGTGAAGTTTTACCATACAGTGGTTTCAGAGTAAAGTGAGGCACACAAATATGCAAGACACAGTGTAACACTCAATGCTCCTTGCAACTTTGTCAGGATAAACATGCACTCACGCACACACTTAAAAATGCCATTTCTAGAATTTAAGCAAAAATGTGGGCCTTTCAGCCTTGAAAATAATTCTTCAGTGATCTACAAGTGATTATTTCTGAGCCTGTTTTGTAACTCAGCAGCTCTTTTAATTACATTGAAAAAAGAAGAGACTTGTCAGGTGACTGTCAGAACATAAAAAGATAATTTACCCAATTGCTTCTTATTGAGACTGAAATCCACACTAGTGATGGCATCTCGATGGCCTTTAAAGTGTTTCTCCAGAGATGGATCCTCCTGAAAGACAATAAAATTTAAAGAATATAGGCTAATGTTAATAGAATATCAGGGTTGGAAGGGACCTCAGGAGATCATCTAGTCCAACCCCCTGCTCAAAGCAGGACCAATCCCCAGACAAATTTTTGCCTCAGTTCCCTAAACAGCCTCCTCAAGGACTGAACTCACAACCCTGGGTTTAGTAGGCTAATGCTCAAACCACTGAGTTATTAATAGTGACCTTAGCACAATAAAAAAAAAATTACATATTTTTATGACAAGGCTTGGCAATTTCCCCACCCTAAAATACTCAAGGCCAGATTTCCAAAAAGAATAGCCCAGCACTGGGTGATAAAACAGTATGCGTGCAACTACTTGTATAATTATGCATACAATTACAAAAACAGTACATGCAGCTAGTCAGTTGCACATCAAAAGAAAGGTGTGGGGGAAGGACAAAGAAGAAGCAGAACAGAAAGATCAGAACTAGCAGCAGGGTAGCTATAACATCACTATCTCACATCATTTGTATGCTTAATGAGATTTGTGAGAAGCCAGCAGACATTGGTGGCCAACTACCAAAGTATATTTTTTTTAGCCCACTAGGCTACAAAGCAATAAACCTAGTTGCAAAAGACACCTCCAAAAAGTGAGGGTGATTTCAATAAGAATTCATAAAAATAGTTTTGGTTTTTAAAACGCCAGCAGGGAAATCCTCACGGATCCAGCTACTGCACGTCTCCCTCCCTGTGCCTAACCCAACCGGTCCCTAGCTCAGAAAGGAAAGTGTTAGCGCTCCTTTTCAAACGGACGGGGGGCTGCATCGAGCACCCCACGAGGCCACACAGCAAAACTCAAAGGCCCTGTCCCGCAGCTCAGGCCAGGCTTCAGGATCCTGCAGGGAAGTACGCGGCAAAGCCCCCCCTTGGAGAACTGCCACCACCTGCGGGGGCGGGGGGGGCAGAGCCGCGGGGCGGGCGGGCTCTGCGGTTGGCAATGACTTTTTGCAATAGTAACAGGGCTGCAACACCCCCCTTAGCCCCTGGCTCCACCCCAGCCCCGGCAAATTTAGCCCCCCCGGCCCCACTCCCAGCGCCCCGGCCCCTACCCCTACCAGGCCGGCGGCGGCGGCCATGGCGTGCGGCGGGAGCTGCCGGGCCTGTCGCTCTGGCCGCGGCGCCGGTTCAGTTTCCGCGCCTCCCCGGCCGCCTTAGTAACGGCGTCAGGCCCTTAAAGGGAAGGCCGGGCCGGGCTTCGCCTCCGACAGAAAAAGCGGCCCGGGGCTCGCTTGACATCATGGCGGGGCGGGAAACATGGGCGCGCGCGCGCCTGCTGCGTGCCCACACACTCGTTCTTACACACTCAGTTCCTTCAGCTGTGCACACTTCTGCTGCCTGACACACATACCGTTCACGTGTGCACATTCATACACACACACTTCACATGTGCACACATGCAATTCACACGTTACTCCTGAGGGCATTCTATGCCAAAAAATAAAAATTCTGCACCAAAAAATTAAAAATTCTGGGCACAATATTTTAAAATTCTGCAAGTTTTATTTGTCAATAAATAAATGCAGATGTTCCAGTATGGCAGTGAGGAGCACAGGCCACTGGCTGCATGAAGGTGGGAGCTCAGCCTGCAGCCACCCCATCCTGGGGACATAGACTCATTGGTGAGGCTGCATCCGACCTTGACACACCAGAAGGCCTGGGCCTGCCCCTCTGTGCCAGGCGCACCAGGTGTGGGGCAGGCAGGATCCAAATGTGGAGGGGCTCAGTGTGGGGTGAAAGGATTCTGTGTGGGACAATCTGGGCGCAGGCAGCTCAGTGGGGAGGTTAGGCAGGTTGCCAACTTTCTAATTGAACAAAACCGAACACCCTAGCCCCACCCCTTCCCCGAGGCCATGCCCCTTGTCCCACCCCTTCCCTGAGGCCATGCCCCCCATTCACTACATTCCCCCTCCCTCCATGGCTCACTCTTCCCCACCCTCATTCACTTTCACTGGGCTGGGGCAGGGGTTGGGGTGTGGGAGGGGGTGAGGGCTCTAACTGGGGGTGCGGGCTCTGGGGTGGGGCCAGAAAGGAGGGGTTCGGGATGTGGGAGGGGACTCCGGGCTGGGGCAGGGGGTTGGGGTGCAGGAGGGGGTGAGGGCTCCATCTGGGGGTGCAGTTCCTGGAGTGGGGCCGGGGATAAGGGGCTTGGGGTGCAGCAGGGGGATCCAGGCTGGGGGTGGGGCAGAGGGGTTCAGGGTGTGGGAGGGGTCTCTGGGTTGGGGCAGGGGGTTGGGGTGCAGGGGAAGGTGAGACTCTGTCCTGGGGTGCAGGCTCTGGAGTGGGGCTGGGGATGAGGGGTTTGGGGTGCAGAAGGGGGCTCTGGGTTGGGGGGGCTCAGGGCTGGGGCAGGGGGTTGGGGTTTGGGGTTGAGGCACGGGCTTACCGCCAGCGGCTCCCGGTCAGCAGCACAGCAGAGGAGCTAAGGCAGGCTTCCTGCCTGTCCTGACTCCACGCTGTGCCCCGGAAGCGGCCAGCAGGTCCAGTTCCTAGGCGGAGGTGCAGCAGGCGGCTCTGCGCGCTGCTCTTGCCCGCAGACACTGCCCCCATAGCTCCCATTGGCCACTGTTCCTGGCCAATGGGAGTGTGGAGCCAGTGCTCGGGGCGGGGGCAGCGCACGGAGCTCCATGCCCCCCCCTCCTGCCTAGGAGCCGGACCTGCTGGCTGCTTCCAGGGCACAGCGCGGTGCCAGGACAGGTAGGGACTAGCCTGCCTTAGCCCCGCAACACTACCGACCGGACTTTTAATGGCACATGCACATTTGCACATACACACCAGGGCCATCTCACCTGATGCTTCCCTCTAACTGTGCTCCCAATTGCCACTGCCTCCCAATTCCCTCACCTGCATGCCATGCTGTGGGCTGCCCCAACCCTGGTCTAGCTCTGCAACAGGCAGGGAGCTCTTAGCCCCTGTGTGGGGACCCAAAAGCCTTCAGCCTCCCCAGCATGCAAGAAATCACACTTACGTATGATTCATCTCTAACCTGAAGGGACCACTTCTGGTATCAGGAGGACAATTCACATCTCATCTACGTGAGGGATGTTTCCTAGTTATAGCCACTAATGCAGCTGAAATAATAACATCTAGGTCTGATAAAGCACTTTTCATCTGCAGCTCTCAAAGGAAACCCCTAGAGTGGACAGATAAACCCTACAACCTCGGATTTACACTGGTGCTGTTTACCCTGGTTTCGCTCACGGCTACTGCATGGATGCAAATCATGACTTAGAATGGTTTTGCATGTCAGCGCTAGAGGTTTGCAGTGATGTGAATACACCAGGGGCTGCTCACTACTGGATGAAATCCCCAAGTAGAGCTAGCTGACAATTTGTTGGAAAATTTCAATTTACCTGCAAATTTTTGATTTTCCACCTTAAAAATCCAAAATGATGGAGGCTGACTGCCAGCCAAGAAGGTCTTGCCAATTTCACTTTCTGCAAGCAGGAAGAAAGTGAAATTGACGAGAAGCCTCCAGGAGAACAGCTGCAAAGGCAACAAATTCTTTTCTGAGAGAACCCAAATGGATTTTTTCTGGAAATTTTGTCATTTTTGACATTTGCCTTGATTCAGGATGAATATTTTTTCAAAAACATATTTTTTTTTATGGGACGGTATTTCCATTTTCTGGCCAGCTGTATCCCCAGTGTCAGAAAAGTCTTCAGATTCCAGCCCCTGAAGCCCTGGGGCTCTCTACTGAGATTGCCTAGAGAAGGCTCCAGCGGTGGTGATGGCTTTAGTGAGATAGACACTTTTCCACCAGACAGCCTCCCTCAGTAACATTCAATCACTAGTAATTTTAGCCAAAACCAATTCTCTAGGGATGAAAAGCTCTATACCTCATTGCCAATCCAATGAGCCATCCAGATTGCCATTGTGTTTTGGAAATCATCAGCCAGATCTGATTAGGACAGCCATCTGTGTTATTTTGAGGGCAGAGATACAGATTCACATTACTAGATGCTGCCATGCAGCTGAGCTCAAAAAGCTCCCCAGATCATTAGCTTTGGGGGGGAAACTCTGCATTGCTTCAAGAACGGAGCTTCAGCCAGTATTTCATGTGTCTAAAGAGTGTGGTTCATGAAGCCAGTTCTGCAAGCACTTACTAAGCAGCAGAGATAGTGCTTACCACTGCGAGTAACTTTATTGATGTCAGCACTTACACATAAGCATTTTTGCAGGGTCCGTCCCCTATTATAGTTTAAAACTGTTCTATGAAGCAAGGAGTGTGTCTGCCTCGGTGTTCTGTTTACACTGATGATGCTCCATAATAATATTATTGTCATGTACTTCTTGTACATGGTAGGGTGCAGGTCAGGCTCTTGTACCAGATGTGCACTGATTACAGGGCTTCCTTTGTAGAGAGATACATCAGATACTCCTGGGCAAATTCTGCACCACTGTGCGCATGCATAATTAATAAGCTGTGCATACTTTTAATTTTTTGTGCAGAAAAAAGCTTCTGACAGAAAGTTGCTGCAGTTCCCCCTTTTGCCCACCAGATGGCACTGTGGTGATAGAACAGAGCAGCAGCTCCTAGCCAGCTAGGGAAGAGAAAGAGCCTGCATTCTTCACAGTGCCTGTCAGGCCAGGTCAGGAGACAGGGGCTATGGGGAGACAGACAGTGTGGGGCTGTTGGTGGGAGGTCACACACAGGGGCTCATAAGGGCTAGTGGTGGAGGACAGACTGGGGCAGAGGCTGAATGGGAGTAGAGGCACAGGGTCACAGGAGGGAGGGAGGTGCAAGGCCAGATGGGGAGGGGGTGCAGAGCTACTTAGGGACAGGGGGTGGCTGAGTGGGGGCACAGGGACACATGGGGACAGGGGTGTGGGTGCAGGGCCACACAGGGACAGAGCAGTGGCTGAGTGGGGACACAGAGACACATGGGACAGGGGGAGGGGGTGCAGGGCCACATAGGGATGGGGGGTGTCTGAGTGGGGGTGCAGGGACATGAGGACGGGGGTGTAAAGACACATGGGGGTTCAGGGACATATGGAGACAGGGGAAGATGTGCCTGACTGAATGGGAGAGGCTAGGGGTCAGCCAGGGTCTGCATGGGGGAAGCTACCTAACAATCCCTCCATGCACCCCCTGCAAAAAACCTGTTCCATACTTTTCCCACCTATACTCAACAACCCTCCAAGTTCACACCCAGGCTCCTTCCCAGCAATCCCTCTCCCTCAGCTCCTCCATTACCCAACTCCCCCAAGCCTTTGCACTGCTTCTGAGGGGTGTGGGAAATACGGTTCTGTATTGTAGTTTACCGTATATACTTGTTCATAAGCCAAATTTTTTTAGTAAAAAAGTGAAGCATCAGAGAAGGGGGTCGGCTTATGAACAGGTATAGGGAGGGAGAGGTGGGACCAGTGGTGAGATGGAGCTGGTTCGCAAGAACCGGTTGTTAAATTTAGAAGCCAGTGTAGAACCGGTTCCTAAAGGGGCGGGCAGGTGAGCAAACTCCGGCCCGCGGGACCGTCCTGCCCGGCCCACCTGAGCTCCCAGCTGGGGAGGCTCCCCCGGCCCCTCCCCCCTTGCAGAGCCCCAGCGCGCCGCACTGCCAGCACCAGTGCTCTGGGCAGCTCTGCAACTCCTGCCGCTTTGAGCGGCATGGTAAGGGGGTGGGGCTGTGAGCTCCAGCGGCCGTGCGGCATCCTTACACAGCAGCATGGTAAGGGGGCCCAGCCGGGGCTGGGAGGAGGGGTTGGATAAGGGGCAGGGAGCGGTTGGAGGGGGCAGAGGCTCTGGTGGGGGCGGTCAGGGGATGGGGAACGGGGGAGGGGGGATGGGTAGGCGTGGGAGTTCTGGGGTCTGTCGGGGTGGTGGTGGATGGGGTCGGGGCAGTCAGGGGCCAGGGAGTGGGGCGAGTTGGGTAGGGGGTGGGGTCCTGGTGGGCAGTTTGGGTGGGGGGTCTCGGGAGGGGGTGGTCAGGGGACAAGGAGCGGGGGGGTTGAGGGGCGTTGACGGGTTGCGGGTTCTGAGGGGGGCAGGACGTGGGTTGGGGTCGGATGGGTGGGGGGGGTGGAGACAGGCACGTGGGGCTTGTACTCACCACACGGTTCCCTACCAGGTCTTTGGTGGCACTTCAGCGGCGGTGGGGGGGGTCTTCACTCACTC